TAGATAAGCATGTATGTATGTATGTATCTCGGTTAAACGTGCGATGCAGTGTATTTTCAAGGAATATATCATGATTCGGGAGTTGGTTACGCGTCCATACCCAATTCAATCCTTAGTGGATGAATTTCTAGAAAGGTATTTATTTTATTCTTTTCTTCTTATTTTATTGAATTAGCAAAGCGACTTGGCATCTTGTCATTTGATTGATTTGATAATCTTTATTATTGTTGAGAGAGCCGTTGGGTTTGAATAGTTCTGGCTAGCCCTGGAAGGGGGGATCCGTAGGTCGAGAGGGAAGGGGAGTCTACATTTGTGATTATTTAGGATAATTTATCTGATGCAGGCTGATGAAATGAGTAAATTGATTTTCATGGACTTGAATCTTGCCAGCTGGCAGGGAAGTAGTAGTAGTACTGTTGATTAGTTCACAACTTAACCGAGGGGAAACAGCTCGTGTGGATCCTTTCCAACTTGAACTACTACTTGTCTACATAGTACTGCTGCTATGTATGTATGTACTCCCCCTTCCACTAGCATATAGATATATCAATTATTAAGTATGGTATGTGGAAAAGTGGCTCTCCCTCCGATCAAGGAACCGGGAGAGAAACCGGAAATCGAGACCATTCTTATATTCCCATGCTACTTAGGTTACTACTACTTACTACGTACTTGCTGCATTTGGGGGGATCCCCCAACAAAGTTTGATGGGGTAAGAAAAATGTCAACTGCGCCGCCCGTCGGGAACTTCAAACCGCCAATCAGCATGAGTAGCGGCACTACTTGGCTTTCCCTGAAACCGGACAATCCACCTCGGTTTTCTTTTTCTTTTCTTTTCCCTATAGTCTAGTCTGTCTGTCATGGATGAGGGAAATAAATCAGGTCCGGAAGTAAGTGAATGACTCATTGAGAAATAATATAATATTTAATTGAGTGAGTTCTCGTCCATATTATTTATTATGAGTACGAGTAGTAGTACGTATTTCTCCCCCTGTGTAGGAAATCATTTGCTGGTGGAACCGGACGGGGAAGACGGAAACCCCGTTCTTTTCTTAAGGTCCAGGGTTATGTTGAGTGGGTTGTTTTGCCCTCTCATGCCATGAATGAATGACGTTGGAGGAGGATGATGATATCAGACAGCAACACCCTTTCGTTCTTTTCCTTCTTTTTAAGGTTCTCGGGTTCGGAAAACTGTCGGCGGAGAAGCACAGATGATGTGGGCTGATCTGGTAGAAGTTGTTGTTGGTTTCTTGTTATCTTGGTTTGATTTCTATTCAGGTCAGTACATACTTGGGATGGCTATCTTCATGGTGTTCCAAGTTTATCTGGGGTATAGAAAGAGACTAAGGTAGCTGTGCCACTAGTTTCCCTTTAGTAGAAGGCCATCTACTGAAGGGAACCATACTCGACAGGTACTAGTATTACTAGCATTGCTTCTAGATGCAAAGTACATTTGCAAGTCCAGCTGGCCTGGCTGGCATCTGTCATGCCAACCAACTGCGTAATTGTGCAGCTCCGGCTGAATGAGAGATCTTGTCCTGCCCCTGATCGTCGCATCCTTTTCCTTCCTTACGTTCTCGTTCTTTCTCGCATGCTCCCCTTCATCGTGGAGACTGGAGAAGTCTCCAGATCTCTTGTTCCAATGATGATGTCAACCTTGCCGGTTCTGGCCAGGTCTTCGTCCAGTGGATGCCCTCTCTTGGCTTCCCGACGCCGGAACTGCGACTGACCCAATCATCAAGCCATAATAATCATAACTCTCTCCCAGCTGCTTCGGGGAGTTGAAGCTTCATCTGTCATCTGTTCTTCTCCCCTCTCAATACATCACTGTTTATTGCTCACGGCTCACTTGACTTTCCATCCAAAGGTTTGTGTGTTGTTGGTTCCTTCTACCACCATCAGCTACTACAAGGTACAACACCAACTACTACTACTTCTTGTATTCTCTACTCCATCCTCCCCGACCTCACCATCCACACCACACACACAACATCCCAATTCCCTGCCACTTGCGCAACCACTTGGGAGATTCCTGTTGGTGAGTAAGAAATGTCCTCGTCTCTCTCTTCTCTTCCATCCAATCCTCATCCTTCCTCTGCTGTCATCTCCTCACTCGTTTCATCTTCTTTCTTGTCTCTCAACCCTAGCCTGTCCTCCCCTCGTATCACTCTCCCACATTGACTTCGATCCGGATTTCCCCTCCTTCTCTTTCTTTCCGTGGTACTCTTTCCTCTCCCTCTCTCTCTTTCCTTTTCCCTCTCCCTCTTCCTCTCCTATCGCTTTCCTTCCTCTCTGTCCCTCTCCCTCTCACCCTCCCTCTCTTTTAACTCTGCCGGCTCTTCCGTTCCGTGGACCTCTCCGTTACATTTCCACCTTAACCCCTCCTCTGCCCTTGACACCCCCCATTTCTGATTCTGGGTCTCCTGCAGATTCATTGCCTGACGAAAGCTCTCTTCCAGCTCCACTCTGGTCTCGCCCGGTTCCCTGATTTTCCTGGTCCAGGTTCCGCTGCTGGCTCCAGAAGGACCCCTACTGCCAGCCCCCGTTCTGGACACACAACACACTCACACACACTCTCTCTCCAACAACTCAACCCCCCCACTTTGATCCTGTCGGGATATATTCTCCTGGCCAACCTTCCTTCTGAACCGGTTGGAGCTCTCCAGCTTTTTACCTTCCCGCTTGTTCTTGACTTGTCAGTGCATTGTTCATCCTTTGTTGCTTTCTCTCCCGCCCTCGCAACCGTGGTAGCTGCCTACCATCACTCGTACCTGCCGTGGTCATCTTCCCCTCGGTCACACTGGTTTGCTCCTGGGCTCGACAAGATCCCAGGACCTCTGTTCCAGGTGCCAGACTGTGCCTTTAAGCCGCTCTGCTCACTGACTTTCGGCCTTGTGCTTCCGGTCTTCTCTGGCATCGCGGCCGGAGCTTTAAATACCTTCCATTCGCCTGCCCGTCCGTCGCCACAACCATACTCCTCTACCTTTCAATAGCTAGTTCTCTCTGTCTCTCCCTCTCCTTATATCAATTTCGATCTTCTCTACAATCTGCTCAGGCGGCTCTGCCCTGCCCTCTGGTTAGTTTAGATCAGGCTCACTCTCAACATGGCGACTCAGGCCTCCTTCGGCCAGCCTGTTGTGCCTGGCGAGGCCGTCGTGTCCAACGAAGCTGTTATGCCTGGTGCCGTTAGCGCGGCTCCTTCTCACTTCACCATCTCTAATTCCTACATGGCGACCGACATCCTTTCCATGTCTTACCCAGCCGGGGACGATCAGACTCTCTTCGGATTCAGCCCCGTTTCTCCCTCGCTACCAAGCTGGTCGGCGAAACATGACCCGCAGGTTTTCACCAATCCGGGTCTTGAGCGAGGCCTGAAGAACTCGCATGTGCGCAACGGTCAACCTACGCCCCCTCCATATGACGACAAGAGACTCAATTCGGTCGACGAAATCTATTCCTTGTCTCATTTCCAGTCGTACGACGGGGCTGCTGTCTATTCCAACCCAACTCCCCGTGCAAGCTTCAGTCAACCGGCTGCTTCGGACGCGCGTCAACCAGCGCCCAGGCGTCGCAAGACTAATGGCACACACAACTCGTCTTCCCCCGATGCTGATGACAAGCTGAGCGAGAAAGCGAAGCGTGAGAAATTCCTGGAGCGCAATCGGCTGGCAGCGAGCAAGTGTCGCCAGAAGAAGAAGCAGCAGACGGAGAGTCTCCGCAGTCAATTCAGAGAGCTCTCCCAAAGGAGAGAGGACCTGACCCGTCATATTGACGCTTTACGTAGCGAGATCCTCGTGTTCAAAAACTACTTACTCGAGCATGCCCAGTGCAATGATGAGGCTATTCAATTGCACCTCAGCACCATGGTGAAGAACATTACTCAGCAGGACTCACTGGGGACGTCCGACCTGAAACCGGACCTGAATGCTCTGACCCCGTCGAGCTCGAGTAGGACGACCCGCTCGCAGGACCTCTCCTTTGGTTTTGATAGCCCCATTCAGATTCCCTCAAAGATGGGCTCCCTAGAACCCACTCCTCGCCGGGACTCAGAGCAGACCCTCGCGAGTGATGCGTCATTCTCCTTCTCGACTCCCAACAATGACGGCTTCGAAGATCTGCTCGATGTCTAGAACCATCTTCTATATCCATCATTCTCTATACATTGCTCAACACCATCTCAGGGCTCAATGGCGGCTGGTGTCGTCTTATTCTGTGTTTTATCATGAGCCCTCGATGGTTGACATGACTGGCGACTGCATGACGGCGTTTTTTTTTTCCTTTTCTCTTCTTTTTTCTTTTTCCTTCTTGCTAACTCTCCCAACAAAAAAGCACGTGGTTTGGGCGGGACTTTGTGATTGCTGTTCAAGGTAATATTCTTGTTATTCTCGCTCAGGTAGCTGGCGACTGTGGCGATTTTATAGTTAGGTAGGTTTGCTGTATGGTTTCGAAACCAACTTGCCGGAGGAGTGGCGTTTTTCTTTTTTGGGGGGGAACTGGGTGGGCAAAGGAACACGAATTGCTACGATGATACGAGTGTACGCTAGTTGCTGTGTGGGTTCTCGGTAGCTAATAATAATCAATATTTAGCTTACTCTGAGATTCTCTAGTTACTAACCACCGTATAGTCATATATAGTAGCAGTAGTAGTAGTAGTAGTAGTAGTAGTATATAAATGGTCTCTCACATGACTGGCAGACCATGTACAGTAGATCGATGGTTCTATCTCCACTTGGGACTAGTTTCCGCTTTGGACTAGTTTCATGCATACTATCGGAGTAATGATCTAGATCAATCTATAAGTAGTATTCAGTCACGTTCAGTTATCAACCATATGAAATTCTGCTAGTTAAACATACTCTAGCCGCAGCTAATTAATTCAACTCGTAACAACACAATGTAGAAAAGAATCAACTCATATTCTACCATCTAACTCTATAACTAACTAACCAATCCACACGTGGAAATATATATATATATATATAGATAGAAGTGAAAGATAACTAAACCTCCACTCTCTCCTCACTCGTCTTCGCCCCCGCATTATCATCATCAGAAACAATCCCGTCCTGTTCATAACCACGGTCAATTTCCTGTTCCTGTTCCCCGACCAGCAGGGCAGATGATAGCGAATCATCATGAAGTTTATCGTCATCATCTCCGAAAAGCGCATCGATCTCCTCGAGGGATCTCCCGCGTGTCTCGGGTAGGAAGAACCAGACGAAGACGGCGAAGCTGGCGTCTAAGACCCCGAAGATCAAAAAGGTGGCCCATTTCGCCCCGGCTAGGACGTACGGGGTGGAGAATGACCAGACGAAGTTGGAGAGCCATTGGGCGGCGACGCCGATGGCGACGCCCGGTTCGCGGATGCGGGTGTTGAAGAGTTCGGCGGTGCAGGGCCAGGGGAGGGGGCCCCAGGAGAGGTTGTAGAAGACGATGGCGAGGTAGATGAGGGAGACGGTGAGGAGGCCGCTGTTCGTCATAGTGGGGGTGGTGGAGGGATTGTTTGTGGATGGGTGGGGGGTGGGGACGTTGGTGGATTTTACGACCACTGAGGTGGTTATCATGCAGATGGACATGGCGAGTGCGCCGAGGATGAGTAGTGGTCGGCGGCCGAATCGGTCGGCGACCCATACGATGAAGATGAGGCAGCCGATTACTTTTAGGCCGCCGAATATGCCGGTTAGGAGGAGGGTAAGGTGGGCGTTGTTGCCTACTAGGAGGGCGAAGAATTGCGGACCGAAGTAGGCGAGCGCCGTTGGCCCCATGGATTGTTGGGCTATGAATAGGCAGACGGCTAGAGCGAGTCGGTGGCTGTTGGACTTGCTGAGGAGTTCTTTCGGAGAGAAATCGGCGGTCGCGTGCGCATCACGCTCGATGCTGGATTTCATTTGCTGGTACTCGGTGCGCACGTGTGGTCCGTTCGATGAGCGGATCCAGGTTAGGCTGTCCCATGCTTTGGACTCGTTCTTGTCGTGGTCGTGGGAGAGGAGCCAGCGCACGCTTTCGCGGAGCGTGAGCATCCCCAACCCCATTAATGCGCCGGGGATCAGCTGTACAGCGAATGGAATCTGCCATTGCAGGGCATTGGCGGGAGCAAATTGCATGCCATAGTCGATCCAGTAGGACACGAGAATGCCGATGGTGAAGGCGAATTGATAGCAGCTTCCGAGCCGGGCGCGCTTGTCGGTGGGACTCATTTCCGAGAGATAGATGGGGATGACGGTTGCGGAGCCGCCGATCCCCAGTCCGCAGATGACGCGGCCCACGTAGAAGACGGATAGCGAGTGGGTATCGAGCAGTTCGAAGATAACCCCCGTGCAGAAGATGAGGGAGCAGACAGCCATGGCCGGGCGACGGCCGAGACGGTTTGTGAAAGGCCATATGAGCAGACAGCCAAGTAGCGCAGAGGCTTGCTGGACGCCGACTGCAATAGCGCTAACTCGAGTCTCATCGGCGGCGGTATACCGGAAGGAGCGATGGAAGGATTCGAAGGTGAGAACTCCGCCTGGAATTGATTGATGAGCATGGTGTGCGGTGAGTCTTCAGAGACTACATACCAATCACACCCGAGTCATAGCCGAAGAGAAGGCCACCGCAGCAGACGATTGCTGTGAGCCAGTAAAGGCGAAAGGCGCTCTGGTTGTCGGACGGCGGTGGATCATGATGGCTGGGATCGTGGAGATCAGCATCCTGGGGGAGTTCGGAGTAGGGCCTCATTGTGGGCCATGTCGCGAGGGAGATAATGCGACAGCCACAATGGGGAGAGATGCAGGACAACAGACGAAAAGGAGAGGAGGGGAAGTGAAGAGGAAAAGTAAGGAAGTAAATACAGGCCGATGGAGACTGGCGGGGAGTCAGATGACGTGCGATTACGTGGTCAGGAGATCTGCGACGCGTTTCGAGTTGATGTTCATCCACTCCGGAGTCTCCTGCATCCCTCCCTGGTGTCCACTTGGTCTCTCCTACGGCTATTTACTGTCTTCTAGATCATGATGAAGAAATCAGTAAATAGCTCCCGCCGCACGCACCGCGAGTCCGCCCAGGTGCGCGACGCATCTTGTCGTCGCGTCATCTCCTCCAGCAGGAGCAATGCTTTCCCCGCATGCGGATGTCGCGCCGTACGGGAGCTTCCACGGATGCGCTCGGGATCTTGACAGCGACTACTACAGCTGCCAGTGATCCGCTGCATCTCTTTCACAATCCATCTTCGCTGCTCCATCGAGCCCTCAAGACCGGCCACAAATAACGGCCATACAAAGCTGGCGGGCAGATGTTGCTGGTCACTCCCAGACTCCACCTCCGCGGTTGCCAACTGAATAATCCGATCCACTGCGCGGTGCACTCGGTCAGTCCGTGGGTAGATGGCGAACGCGACCCGGTGTAGGTAGATGAAAATCGCTAGGAAGTTGGCGATGTACTGTCGGAATGTCCGGCAGATTTCGATCGCGATAGCAGGCTGTAGAGTATCGAAGAGGTTCTCGGGCGTGCTGTAGACGTCCAGCACGCGCGGACGCCGGTTCCAGAGCGTCTCGAGGTCGGCCCCGACCTGGTGTGCTATCTGAAGCACCTCGAACTCGTCACTGACCGTCCCGCGACTGCGGTGATGCAAGTCGATGCACACGATCCGTCGGATAACCTGTTGCGTCTGTAGAAAGAAGCGAAAGGCCGGGCCCGTGATGGCTTCACGCATAAGGTATGCGGGTTTTGGTGGCTCCTCGTCGCTGCTGTTGTCGAATAATCTGTCTTCCGGGGCTACTTCAGACGTAGTGTTTGCTTTGGATGAAAGACTGCCCAGATCAATCAGCGGATCGCCATCACGGCCAGCTATCAGCGCTTTAACATCCAGCAATGACACCCACGACACAATAACACTGCTCACACCGGTCCACAACTTGGTTCGGTGGTGAAACCGCTGCAGCAGGAGATATGCGGAGTGGAGAAAGGACGTTCCTGAGCCCCATAGATCAGGGGTAGAAAGGAGCTGTTTCGTCAGCTCTCTAGCCATAGTCAAGTATTCAGAGCGAACCTTGAGACACTCACCTCCGCCAGCATCAACAATAAAACCGTAGTAAACACCCTCTTCAGCACCGTCTCCTCTACTTCGCCCAGCAAGCACGACTGAATCTCCGAACACGCCAGCTGATGATACCTCGACGCCAGTTTCCACGCTTTGCCCTCCACCAACGCCTCGTGTATCTCCGCGTAGCAGTAAATCCCATGTAAGACCGCCCGACTATCGCGCGATTGTGCAACAACATTAGCACGCACATACTCCCATTCCAAATCCACCGGTCCAAATATCGTAGGCGGCGGGTCCCCCTCCACGAAATGTGCAAACAACCGATCCTCATATGTCAGCCGACCATGACCACTACTACTACCACCGCTTGTGTCCGATGCAGACCCCAACTCTGACCGATCGCCGTGGATGACTGAGACTGAGCCCGCGTCCCAACTGATCGGCCGTTCATTCTGATCGAGTTCCTCGTTCGCGATCGCCGCCGGAACCGAGCCCGCTGGGAACCCCGCCAGTCCGTTCGTCGTCAAGTCGAGGTGTTTCTGCTGAAAGTCGGAGGTGATCTCGCCGATGAAACTAAGAATATCGAACGAGGTGATGTTATCCGCACCTAGGGGTTGCTGGTGTTGTTGTGAAGAGCGACTGCTGGGACCCGCCTGCTGCGGGGATCCTGAATTCGAAGCTGAAAGCCGGTCATTGCAGAGGACGGTGTGGAAGAAGTTCACGTCTGGACGGTCGGATGAGGTGGTGCTGGCGGTGCTGGTGGGGGCCGATGCTGCGCTCGCGACTGTGCCTGAGCTCTGGCTGTTATGCCGTTGTCGCGGGATGACCGTTTGGATGGTGCTTTTGTAGGTGCATTGCAGTCGCAGGCGCGTGCAATTGGCACACGTGGGTTTGGTCTCGTCGCAACGGACTTTACGTGCCCGGCAGGTCAGACAGCCCGTGCGGCGTCGGGGTCCTGATCGGCCCATTCCGCGAGCTCGAGGAGCCTTGCGCTCGGTTAGCAGGTGCATTTTCTAGGTGTATCAAGGGTTTGGGGATGCGAGATTACCTCCATGATGGGTGTGGGGAAAACATGGTTGAGGGAGGAGCTGCGCAGCTGAGATGGTGTGATTGTTGGGGGGAATCAGGAACGAGATCATGCTCGGCTCCCCGCAGCGGTCCGCCTTGTCCTTATATTTGGAGTGGTCTTCATACTGTAAACTCTGCCAGGAACAGCTACGTCAGACAGCATATTTGATTCATATCTCATGACACTACATGCACTCTATCTCATTATGCCCTTCGGATGATGACATCCTGCGGGTCGGGGACGATCCGTTTCTTGTCTCCCCCAAAACACTTGGATGTATGCAGCAAGTGTCCGCGTTCCTTTCGCACATACGTCGCGAAACATATAGCAGCCAGCGCAATGCCCCCGTAACTGATGAATACTGGGTATTTGAATTGTTCGGGAAGCGGGAATGCAATGGTCGTCGCAAAGGACAGGAGCTCGAAGATGTTTTGGAGAGCCATTTCCGTGGATGAGAACCGCGCGCGAGCCCGTTCGTCCACACCCTATCATAGTTAGAGCTTGGCCAGGTGAAACAGTTGGAGTAGCAGGACTTACCTCTTGAACTAGAAATTGTACCGAAAGGTCAAAGCCCCAAAGCCCGATTCGACTGAGAGCTACGCCCACAATCAGGCTCACGGCAACCACTTGAGACTGATTGTCGAGGACAGCAAAGGCCGTCACTGCAGCCGCCAGACAGGCAAACTGCCAGTTCAGGAACCACAGTCCTGACCGGATAGGCCCAATCCTGCCCATGATGAAGGGGGCTGCCCATGTCCCTGACAGCTCTGCAATGACAGCTCCGATCCTCATCCCGCTGACCTGCAGCGGAGTGAAGCCAGTATGTAGCAGATACGTTACCATGGTAGTGCCGAAGGAGAGCACCGTGAGGTAAAGTAAGCTCAAGGCAAGAGAGGCCAGGAATACAGAGCTAGCCACATACTCTCGCCACGGAGCAAGAGCCCTTCTGCTATACTGCGCTATCCGACGAGCTGCGCTCGGAGTACTGTCGCTATTCTGTGGCTGAAGCCCAGGTCCATCTCCGATCTCATTGCTTCCATCCTGACAACGCTTGAGTTCGGGTATGGACGTATACACCTAAATTCGGTTAGTATATGGTATCTTCAGCCTCTGGAGCCTCTGGGAATAGTACCTGAGCGATTGCAATGTACTCAACGACGACGCAGGAAACATTCACAGCCAAGACCGTCCATATGGCTATCTTGGTCGACAGTCCATCAACCACGGAGATGACCACCGGAGCTAAGAGTTTGCAAAATAGATCTATCCGTCTCATAGAGGCATTGAGGTCTATTCAATTAGTAAATAGTATGATTCGCAGCAAGTCGTAACATACCTTGTCGAGGGATATCCAAAGCATCCGACACAACAATGGCCTTTCAAATTAGCCAAATATCATAGCACAAGAATAGCAACGTACCCAGTCTCTCTCAACAGCAACACAATTAGCAGTAGCAGCGAGCTTCTCCACACAAGCGAGCAGTACTGAGCCCGCAAACACGAGCGAAGTAAACACCGTAGTAGACGGCGCCAGGAGAACCGTAAAGCATGCGCAGGAAGCAGCCACAGGGAGTCTCTGCCATACTACAGTATACAATGTCAGCCCATGATGACATCCCCATTCCACCACTCTCACATACTAATGGAATGCCGAATCGCTCTCAACCTATTCGCCCGGTCCACCACCGATCCCAACCACGAGGATAGGACCACCGCAGCCAGCGATCGTACCAAAGCATACACCGAAGCATACCGCAGTGTTCCCGGGAAGATAGTGGCCAGGAACAAGACAGCCCCAAACTCAAACATGCGCGAGTTCCATGTTGAGAGAAAATGGGAAATGTACAACCGCAACAGAATTCGAGTTGGGTTTTGAGGCACTGGGGACCCGGGGGCCGATGGTCGGGGTAAAAATGGCTCTGCCGGGTCTTGCGAATCGCAAGATGTTCGGGGCTCTGTGTGAGCGTGGAGTAAAGGTGATTCTGCCATGATAGGGCGTTTGTTTGATACTCAGATTCCCGAAATTTGCATGTTTGGAAGATGGATTTGGAGTTGGTGTGAGACGGGGAATTAAATCGTGATTGCCCGGCCGAAGGGACCGACGGATACTTTAGTTACTATGGATGGATGCTTGGGCTGGTGCGGAGCCGAGTGGGCTGAGTTGGATGCCTTCACCTCTTTCGGTAAGGAGGTATTCTAGGCATATCCCCACCAATTGAGTTGGCTTTATATACTATTACTACTATCAGGGAATATTAGGGATGGGTGGTTTCATCCATTTTTCAGATAGCAGAAGAGGCGGGGTGGCAGATAATTCCGATATTGAGAGCATACTATTATCCTACCCTTCCCCGGATTATCAAGATCCCATGCTAAAGTCGCCGCAGAAAACCCAAAACTCTCGACAATCTCCATGGAAGAGTAGTGTCTCAATAGGCACTTGTCAGGGACTTATGGCCTGCAGGCAATATAATAAACGAGTATAGATACGAATATCATACTGTTGGATACAAGCCATGTTAGGCTGGAAAAAGGACCGTTGCTTGCGTGTCTAACTTTATATGAAATACATGTTGATAATATTAACCCAATATACAGACCCAACGAACACAACAACAGGAACAAATGGACTCCTTAACCTTCTGATGTTCTTTTCTCTTTCGCCAAAGAAATCAGTTCACCCACTCAAGACCATTCTCGCCCTGGACAGTCCGTCTGGCCAGGACTTCAGCGGCCTTCTCCTTCACACCCTCTTTGCTGTCAAAGTTCGCAACAATATCGTTGAGGGTCACCTTCTCCTTTCTTCCACGGTGACGCACGAAAGCCTCGATTCTGCTCTCGCTAGGCAACCCGAACTTGTAGGGATATTGGGTGTACGGGGACTTGTAGTGGTAGAGACTCAGCCGGGATTCAGGCCCCGACTCAGACTCGGAAATCTCGAAGAATTTGTCGACGGTCTCGGTCGAGACCTCCTCCAGAGTCGCCGGCTGCCAGGTGGCTTGGCGGGGAGGCTTCGACATGAGGCGGGCCTTCACACCTTCCACAAAGTCGGGGTGTCTCATGAACTTGGAGGCGATGGCGTGCTCACGCTGGAAGGTCTCGGAAATGGTCCACTCGCGGCCGACACGCAGCTGGCGCAGAGCAACCTTGAGCGAGGTGGGAGACCGCGCCGACAGGGTCTCCAGGGTCTTCTCAGCCCACGACTTCATCTCCGTTTCCTTCTGCAGCGCCTGGATGATCTCCTCCACCGTGTTGTACTGGAAGCAGCGGTCAATAGCACTGCGCAGCTTGCCAGCCAATTGGATAGGCTCCTCGCGCACGGACGGCACACCCGTCGAGAATTCGGCCATGGTTTTGTTGACAAGAGCGAGACGTTCCTGGAATGTGGAGTAGTCACGGAAGACGAGCTCAGACAGACGAGCCGTCAGGTTGGCCAGCGCGCTGGAGTGCAAGTAGTGCGTGGCAACACCAGCATACAGAGCCTGAACGCCGTGAAGTCGCTCCGAGGTAAGGGCCAGGTATGTTCCGAGCTGTCCATCGAGACGAGACAGGAAGAAAGAGCCGCCAACATCCGGGAAGAAGCCAATGGTCGTCTCCGGCATGGCAAACACAGTGCGTTCAGTGGCGATCCGGAAGGGAGCGTGGACACTGAGACCGACACCGCCGCCCATGGTGATACCGTCCATCACGGAGACGAAGGGCTTCTGGTAGGTCGCGATGAGGTGATCGAGGCGATATTCGTCGGCGAAGAAGTCGGACGAGGCCTGCTGGCCCTCGGGGCCCTTTTCGTTCTGCAGAGCGAGAGCAGCCACATCTCCTCCGGCGCACAGAGCCTTCGAGCCAGCGCCAGAGAGCATGATGACATTGGCCAGGTCGGACTTTTCCCATTCCTAGAAGACACCCCAATCGCTTAGCAACAAGTCCACACGTATGATACCAGGTCGCAGCCACAAGCTAACCTTCAGTCGAGGCACAATCTTCCGAACCATCGAGCCGTTCAAGGAATTGAGCTTCTTGGGACGGTTGAGCTCAATCAAGCGCACACCGTAATGGGAGTGGAACAGGACATCGTCGGGCTCGTCTCCGGGGAGTTCTTTGGGGATAGGTGCCGTAGACATCTGCAATCGTCAGTCAATGGGAGAGGCGAAGCATGAGATAAAAGAAAGGCGTACACTAGCAGTGGCCCCGAATGCTGGGTTGGTGACTTTGGCACGGAGAGGCATGGTAGCTGGTGAAACCCGCGAGATCCAGCTCGACGGTGTTGAAAACCGGCAAATACTGCGTCGGAGTAACATCAGGCAGACCACAGCCTGTTGTGGAGGAGGAGACGGGGTAAAGGAATGGAGGGATGAGGGGATTAAGTATGAGGATGAGCTCGTCGGTTCTCCGCTTGCTTTGACCTCGGAGTTTTTCGCGGAATGATTTTCCTCGCCGGCCGCTGAAGAGGAGAACAGCCGAACGGCCGCAGGATGAGATGTTCCACCAGGAGTAACCAGAACCTTAGTGGTGGTATATAGGGTTCTAAATTATTGGTTAAGAGACTTTTAAATATTTCTGTATTATATTTGATTTGTTCAGAGAAGTTTGGCTATAGTGTCGTGAAGGATCTCCGTTCGGCAACCTCGCCCTGGCATGTGCTTCCAACTACTTACATCGGTCTCCTTCTACCAATTACCGGGCAGCTTATCGTAGGTTTCTGCTAATAAAGCCGTGACTTTCATCCTTGAAAATCCGTAATGCCATCATACATATTTCGAATCTATTTGTACAAAATAAAACACAGAACGAAGCTAACCAGTAAATGACCCCATCGCCAGGTAAAAGAAATTTAGTACAAAGCCTTGGCCGGCTTGTTCTTCAGATCCTTGGAATGCTGAGACAGAATGCGGTCCAGCGCTTGCTTCTCAATAATCAAGCGTCCAGTCTCCAACAGGTCCTTCACATCCACGTCACGGCGGTCCAGGATCTTCGCATGTTCACCCACTTGACGCACGGTCTCGAACAGCTCCTCCTTCGGTTGGTCCGTAATCAATGTTGACCGTCCATAGTGCCGGCCCCAGCAGTTGACTTTGAAAATCTCCTCAACGATATGGGGAGTGGCGCCCTCCGGAAGGCTGATTTCGTTGTCGACAATGATCAATTGGCCGCGCTTGTAGCGGTAACTGAGGGCTATCCGCCACGCCTGGTCGTAGATCTTCTGAGGGAGCTCCGTTGAGAAGTCGCGGGGGTGAGGACCAAAAGCAACACCTCCACCTCTCCGGATCGGGGATTTCTTGTCGCCAACACGGGCCCGACCAGTACCCTTCTGCGCATGCAACTTCCTACCACTTCCATGCACATCATCTCTCCACTTGGTGCTTGCGGTACCCTGTCGGGTCATGTCACCCTCGTAAACAACGGCTCGGTGCAGGATGTCTTTGCGTAGCGGCATCAGGAGGTGGTTGCGAGGATACTCAACGAAGCGCAGGGGCTCCATCGAAGGGAATGAGTAGAGGGTCGCCTTGACGGGTTCGGGATTCCACACGGGCTTGGGAACCTCCCTCGTAAGGTTGTCAACGGGGGACTGGGCCTCGGTGGCCATCGAGCGGGAGAAAGACTTCGTCAGGCATCGTTGCTATAGAATCGAGGCATCAATGGTCAGTATCTCGCATTCAGCCATCTGCAAAGACTAGCAGCGGAATCAAAAAAGGTCGGCCTTACCGTGGTCGTCTCAGCGCCCGAGAGGAGACCCCCTGAGCTGCGAGAGAGCAACTTGAGTGCGCGAAGAGCGTCACTTCCAGGCATTGTGAGTGAGAGTGTGTAATTAAACCCCGAGAGGTAGCCTGGATGGGGGAGGGATCTCGGTGATGCTTTGGAGGAGGAGCAGCAAAAGTTCGGGTGGTCTGGCGCTAGCCGCCTGAGGCTTGGCCAACCCGACGAAAAAAGTTCCGTCCGGCCAGGAACCTCGACTTCGACTTCCCGACCAACCTGGGGAATCTCTTCCATCCACTCCACCACTCTATCCCCCCATCCTTCCCCCAGTCACTCGTCTCGCCATGGCTCATTGCGAGCGGGCCTCGAAGCCCCTGCTCCAATGCCTGCAGAAGACCTACACAAGGGGTCTTCCAGGCCTCCAGCTACAGTCCACTCGCGCCTTTCAGTCCACCGCTCTGGCTCGCGAGGAAGCCCAGACTGAGGCCAAGAGCGCTCCCTTTCACAAATCGCCTGATCCGGCCCTAGTAACGAGTCCCCGGCTGGAACGGAGGTTGTTACGCCAGGGAATTGCCCCCGTCGGATCTCGTCGACGTCGCGCTGCCCTCCAGGGCTCATCCAACATTCCCTTCGAGCAGCTGCCCTTCCAATGTTTCCAGGAGGCCCGCAAGGTTTTGATCGCAGACCGGGAAGAGAAGGTGCGCGATATCCAATCGATGAGCGAGAAGATTGCCAGGCTTCAGGCCCTTTCCAATGAGGAGGCCGGCGGCTTGCAGGTCAAGAAGTCCAAGCTCCGGGCCATGGAGCTCCATCTGGAACACCTTAAGATCCTTGCGGATGTCAACGACCCGCTGGTCAAGAAGAAGTTTGAGGATGGGCAAGGTGAGCAACACATTCTACACACTGCCTTTAACTCCGCAGCCTAATCGACCTCGTCTAGGTGACCTCAGCAAGCCCATCTACCGCTACCTGGCCGATCGGAAATGGAGGGAATACCGTCGCAAGATCCTCGTCCAAAGAATTACGCAAATGAAGGTGATTCCCGACGTCCTTCCTCACTGCGACCCCATTGTCGACACCAAGCTCTACTTCAACCGCAGCCAGGTGCAGCCTGGAGAATACGTCAACGCCAAGGTCAGCACGACAGCACCTAAGCTCGACGTGCAGCTTTTCGAGGGCGGCGAAAAGCTCGTCACCATCGCCGTGGTCGACTCGGATGTCCCCAACGTTGAGAAGGATGGATTTGATTTCAAGATGCACTACCTGGCTGTCAACGTCCCCATCTCGGCCACCAACACCAAGGTCGACCTGGCCCAGCTGTCGGGTGAGTCGCAGGTTGTCCTGCCATGGGAGCCCCCTGTCGCTCAGAAGGGCAGCCCCTACCATCGACTGTCTCTGTTCATCCTTGAACAGAAGGACTCCAAGCCGTTGGACTTTGCCGCCGTCAAGGCGAAGGAGACGGAGCGCGAGAACATGCTGCCCCGCACCCTGCAGGCCCGGTACCACCTGAAGCCGATTGGCGCGCACCTGTTCCGCACGCAATGGGACGAGACGACGTTTGAGGTGATGAAGCAGATTGGCTTCCCCGAGGCGAACATGGAGCTCCGGAGGAAGCGGGTCGAGCCTCTTCCTTACAAGAGAAGAAACCCGTCCACATTCCGGTAAACCAGCCAGCCTCTTTTTCCTTCTGTTCAACTTTTTGGCTCTAGATTTTGTATTGTACAAGAGAAGATGTATGAATATGCACAAATTCCACCAACTCCAGACTCCATGCCGTATACCTAAAGGGTATCCATCTATCATCCTTATATCCATCCGACATATAATATAACATTTATCCCGACAAATCCGCCTCCTCCAACGTATTCTTCACCCACTCAAACTTATTCAACGGCCAGACCCGCGCAATAATCTTCCCATTAATAAGCGCCATGGGTATAGGACCATAATTCCTGGAATCCCTCGACCACGGCAGATTATCCCCAGCAAGATAGACATGGCCCTCAGGAACCTACACCAAACACAAACCATTAGCCATTACCCTCAGCCCCATGAATAACCATCAAGAGGAGAAATGAAGATAAACATACCCTGATCATCTCCCCCTCCCCACCAACCTCCCTACTAAACGGCAAATCCCTACACACAAAATCCCCGGGCAACCCAATAACCCTCTTCGCCCCATTGACCCCCAAAAATGTCGGATGATAGAACCGCACCACGTCCCCGACCTGGATTCCGCGCCCGTGCTTGTGCACTCGCGATATGAGAAGGTAGTCGCCCCGCGGACTGAAGGTCGGGTACATTGAGGGCCCTTCGCTGAGTTGTACCGTGATCAGGTGTTCCCAAATTAGTGTGCATGCGCAGAATACTCCCAGGCTGTTGAGGCCGAAGCGGAAGATGTGTCCTGGGGTGCTGCGTTTTAGCGTGTAGCGGAGGAAGCGGTCCATTTTGTAGATTATTTTTTTTTCTTATTATTGGGTTGGTTCTGAGGGCATTGCTTTGCGATTGGGGTTGGATTGACTGATTGGATTGGACTAATTTGGTGTAGTTTGCTTGGTATGACGGCGGAGAGCTTCGGAGGTTTGTTGGTCATGTGACTTTCTCGGTGGAGGGAGGGTATAAAAAGGGTTTTGTGCGGGAGATTTTTTCTCTCTTCCTTCAGAAATGTCGTGAGCGACAACACAACACAACGCCAGACTTTCAATTGATCGATATGATCGATTGATTGATTATTGCTACATCCATGATGATGATCTGATAGCTTAATGCAGCTAATTGGAATCATCCCATTGCTATCATTATTGTTACTGTTTTCTTGTTGCGTTATGTTTTCTGCTATTCTGCTATATTCGCTTCTAAAATTGCTAGAGCTCACCGCTGCCGAAATTAAACACCAGAGCGCGTGAGTGTGGACAGTGAAGCAAGATGAATATACATCTCATCATTCGTGGTGGGATTCCCTGAACGATAGCCCGGCTTGGACCCCATTTTGTTATGGGAATGGAAAACTGGGTGGTACCGATGGGACACATCCATCTTTATATTATCGTAGTTTGTTTGATAGTTGAATGCAATTGCAATTATTGTTCATATACATATTCATATTCACTTCGTATCATTATCATCATCACATATAGCCAACATTATGATATATATCCTAATCCTCCCACATCCCATCCGCACCTACACAACCCATCAATTAGCACATCCCAATTCCCGCAAAACAACATGGATGATAAAAAAAAAGAGTAAACTCACCCTCAACCATCACCCCCTCCCCCTCCTTCTCCAACCCCTTCCTCTTCTCCCTCTTCTCCCTATAATCCACCCCAAACCTCTCATCCCTCTCCTTCACCAACTCCCCAAGTCCCCCCGGACAGGCCAATTTCACCCTCTCCTCACTCGTAAAACTCGCCATCAACTCCGGCGCCCCCATCGGCACCGCATCCCCCCGATCCACCTGCCACAGATGATACGTCTTTCCATACAACGGCACAATATCCTTCATTTCCGCCGTCTCGGCTGCGTCCCACACGACATTCGGAACGCTCGCGGGCGCAGGCATGATTAGCATCCCGCTACTGACTTCGTAGACGTGCGTGTGCCACAGTTTCTTCTCTTCCGCGGGTAATGTCGCGAAGAGCTTGGGCGTGATCATGTATTCGATGCCGAGGAGGCGTGCGTTGGGCGCGGTGCTGTCGTAGAGGAGGCATTGTCGTAGATCTGTATATTATATTAGTTGGGTAGTTATATGATTGGGTTTTTAGAGTGGGATTTATGCGATGCGATGGGGGTATGTTTACCCTCTGTAATATGAGAACAGTAGTGATTTGCCTCCACGCAGCGTGTCTTGTCGGAGGCGTAGACGTGGAATGCGTTCAGGTGCGCGCAGATGTGCTTCACGGGCGTGAAGTCTTGGATGGCGCTGGCGCCGGCTTCGAGAACTTGGCTTTTGGTGGTTTTGGCGGTGCCGGGGAGGCCGTCGGTTGTTTCAGTGGTCATTTTGTGGAAATGGATATGAGAAGCAATGTATATTGGGGAAATAGTTGGTTGGTAGTTGGCGTTGAGGTGAGGATGGGGTTTCTATACTACTTTTTGTTGAAGTTGCATCTGACGTCACGATGATCGTTTTGGTGATGGGTTGGATGTATACAAAAATAAATGTCATTGTTATCTCAATGGCTGAATACGTTTTCTGGGGTTTATATGGGTAGGTTGGATTTGTGGCACTTATTCATTCTTGTGCTACTGCTAGTGTACCAGACTATGGTCCATATATGGCTAAGTTACATACTGTTCTTCATATCTCTCAGCGCCGCCATAACCTCCACTGGGTCTGTCTTGCCGGTCTTCTTCTGAATCTCGGGGTCCTGTAACATATTAGCTGGATCTCTCGTTGAGTTGTATTGGGACGACTCACGTTGACGCGCATGAACACGTTATGAAGCTGTACCTGGTCAGTTTTGGCCAATCAATATAAGTGGCAGAACAAACCTTCTCATCACCAATTGTGAACTTGCCCTGAGTTTCTTGGTTGGCATTGGCGAATGCCTCCAGCTTCTTAATGGGCTCGGACTGCGAAACAGCAAGGCAGAACTTGACGTTGCCCTTGGTGTATTCATGTCCGGGCTGCAAAGCATCAGTAAGTGCCAACATGAATCACACCGAAATACTCACGTAAACCTTAGTATCATCCGGCAGTGCAGCCAGAGTCTCGTTCAATGCCTTGTGCATTTCCGGGGCCGTACCCTCGAAAAACCGGCCACATCCTGTATCCTATTAGTTTGAACCAAGTCCGCTCATGCAGGAATTAAGCCCACCTCCGATAAACAAAGTATCACCAGTGAAGACGACCTTGTCGTCTCCATCCTGCATAAAGTAGCAGATACTGTCCTGAGTGTGGCAGGGCGTGTGCAGCGCCTTGACGGAGATACGCTCTCCGATCTTGAAAACTTCGCCGTGTGCCGGGGTCCTGGTGACAGATTGGCAGTTCTTGCCGCCAATGACGGAGAGTTGGCCGAAGGTTTTTAGCTTTTTCAGTTAGTTTCGAGTGATGTCTTTGTAGACTGTGTAGCTTACAATTTCATTGTTACCACCGGCGTGGTCCCAGTGACTGGAGTGGTTAGCATCAGTATAGACCCAAGAAGGAAGAACACTTACTGATGAGTATTCACAATAGACGTAAGCTTGATCTTCCCTGCGTCGATCTGAGATTGCAGCGTCGGGGTCACCCTGTGATTGGTAAGCTCAACCTATCTTCGCAACCATTTTGACAAGCCAGCAAGCAAGCACATACTCAGGTGGATTAGCCGGGTCAATAATAACAGACTCCTTAGTCGGCTCATCTGTGACCAGGTAGGCATAGTTATTGCCCTTCCCGGTCCCTGACAAAACAATATAGTTAGCAAAAAAGATCCCAATGAATAATGTAAGCAAGTACCTTGGGGGCACGTCTCAAGGGTTTATTTATTCATTCAGGGAACTACTTACACATCGGGATCGACTGTACATGCATGGCTCTGATTTGTTGCGCTTGCGCTCTCACGGGTTGAAACCTCACGGAAGACCAGACAGCTCTGGTAAGGCACATGGATAAGTATAAGGTAACAGCAAAAGTGTTAGTGCTTGAACTTTTTGGAATGAATGCGGGGGTGGTGGTAACATTGATTGCTAAGAGCTAAGCTAACTAATCTATGCCACCTGCGCCATACTTACTAACTGTGTAAGCAAGTCTTTTGGCGATTACCTCATAGGCTCGTTCCGCGAAGGCTCAGCCACGTGTGGCGGTGACGCTAGGCTGCTTTCGGGCGTGACATTTTCCTCTTCGTCCTATAAGAGATTGGTAGGTGCTACGTAGATGCTACTTGAGTCTTGTTGAAAGTCAGAGTGAGTTTGTTTCGCTGAGCATCGAGGCGTAGCACAGCATGGTCATATTGAAATCGTATCCGCTGTCTATACTATCCCTAACGGTCGCGTATCCCATGTATCTACCGTCTCCCATCCGAATTTCTTCAACTCTTTCAGATCGTCGGCATCTGCACTCCGCTTGAGGCCAGATCCGTCCTTCTTCGATGACTTCTTTGACGCAGATGTCTCTTTTCTGGGTACCAACTCATCTGTCGTCTCCTGCAAACTCTCCTTAAGAAGCGCCGTCCAGTGGTTGGAACTCTGCTCGCAAACGGCAAGAAGGTAAGCGTGGGATAGTAGTCGTCTTCGAGACCCCCATTCCGGCGATTGAAGTATATGGTCCAGCCACATGTACAATCCTTCGAGCTGAGGGTCACTTTTCACGTTCTTTGAGCCTGAAAAGGCCAGTGCATTCACCATCTCCTCCGTCAGGGATGCCAGGGCTGGGGGATGGCCCTCGGCGAGCATCTGCAATAACGAATCCCACTTAGCGAACATTCCCGCCATGGAGTCACCCATCCTGGTGCCAAGTCAGCTTATGAAGTTCAGAGCACGTTCAGAAAATAGGAAACTCACTTCCGACCAGCAGGAACCAACAATGAGTCCTCCACGATCACGCCTGCTAGCGCAGACGCCCCACGACTAGAAGACTTGCAAATCGAGATCAAATGCGTAGAAGTAAACGAGACGTTCTGCTGGAACCGCCTCTTCTTGCGCGGCGGTTCTGACGACTCCTCTTCAGCCAGTAAGTGCTCGAATTCAGTTCTCAGAGCCGCCTTGATGGGCTCGACGTCATCTTCAGCGCCGTCAAATGCCTCAGGTTCCGACACAGGCACCGTCTCAGCACTCAGGTCAGTCTTGGCCCAGTAGTAGTCCCACAACCATTCAAGGGACCGCTGCGTGGCATTGCGCAGGACTGTGAGGGAAGGCAGTTCACGATGCGTCGCCTCGTGACGCAGTTCCACAAATGAGGCCGGTAGGCCCAGATCAATGGCTCGTTGGAACATGGTCTTACGCTGACCGTTCAGCTTGGAGTCGACGAGCCCCGTCACGAATCTATTTGGTGTCAGTGATGATTACTCTTTACAAAGAAATAAGGAACAATTGTTCTGTGAGCAGAGTGGATGGTCATACCGACAAAATGCAGCCGAGTAAGTAGCCCGAATGGAAAAGATGGAATTTTTCAGGGCATCATCATGGAGAATAGCGTCCGTTAGCAAGGCCGTAGCCTCGACCGGATGTGGCAGATTCCCTCGTAGCTTCCAAGCTGCAACCTACCATAATTGTTAGTGTCAAATGCACAATATCAGATTGTTTTAAGGCGGATTTTCGCATACAGTGGCGCAGGCCTTGGAGCGCATGTCGGGCCCATCATAGAAGGGTGCAGGGTAGAATTGACTCCGCACCGCGAGTAATTGCGAGTGCTCTTTCCATGGTGTGAAAATGACCTTCGCCATTTTGTTACTAATTGATTTAGCAGTTTCTAAATGCGATGATTCACCAGCACCCCTGCACTGGCCGGGGGCAGACTGTACATCTTCGTCGACAGTGATTTTGTTCTCCCGGAATAAGGTTGTTCCCGCCGCTGCGACTCCTTATCGATTCGGCTGCGTTGATTCGTTCTTGAAACTACTATGTAAATAACTACAAAGTACTACTAGGTTCTCTCTATGCTGTGGCTTACGTATATTGATGCTGGGTGAAATATGTGTTTATCAAAGATGTTGTCGTAATTGTTACATTCACTGGTGTCTAATACATGCATTTCGAGTTCGACCAATCCTCCCTGGGTATCCTGTACTGTATGCTAAATTAAAAACGCCTCGCGAAACAATAACTCCACGCTATGCAATGCTGTAGCCCGAAAACCGAAAAGAGCAATAATCAAGGGCGGTAAATGCGACAGTGTCGGAATCAAATCCATCCATAACCATAATTCATACAGGGTTGGCTAGCCATGTTGATAAATGGCTGGGAATCGACCACGGCATGCTGCTCGAGGTCGTCGTCATCAAATAAAAAGGATCTCTGCATCATGTTGCCAGGTGCTTTGATCGGTTGTTGAAAAGTCTCAGCCTCAGGCTGCTTAGGGTTCGAATCAGTGCCCTTGTTGTTGACGGGGCTCTCATCCTGATTTTGTTCGTCATCATCGTCCTCATCATCCTGGTCATCTTCATCGTCCTGGTCTTCGGCTTCATTGTCGGAAGACGGGGTGAAAGTCTCCTCCAACTTCAGCCCCTTGCCGGAAAGCCCTAAGAGCGAGTTTCCCAGCGAAGCTTCCGGGTTGCTGTAGAGACCCATTCCGACGAGTTCATCCTCGTTCTGCTTCTCTGGCAAGGACTCTACCTGCGAATGCAGGTCGTCATCAGGTCGCTGAATAGGTAGAAAGTCAGGCGTAGGAGGGCCAGTCAAGCAACCCGACGACGGTACACTCTCATAACTCGAACCTGCGACGTAGACCGGAGGGATGTTGTTGTGCATGGATGACATGTCGAAAGAGTAGCAGTCAGACATAGGTTCTGCCATTGCCGACAAGGTTGAAGCGCTGGTGTCCCAGGAGACGGGCTCAATTTGAGGCTCGCTCATCGGCAGCATGGTAGATTGTTGGAGAGAAATCTGATGCTGTGCGTCAGGCAGGGAAGGGAATCCCAAATCCGAGCATGGAATATCTGTTGAGGTGTAGGATGACATCATGGAAGAGTTGTCGAAGGATGCAGAGGCAGTAGGCAATGGCTGAGGGCACACGCCAATGGCGGCAAAGTTGTCCAACGCCGTAGTTGCTGGCACATACTGAGTAGTAGGATAGCTAACAGGCTCCAAAGCCGGATGCCAACTTGTCGGACGGTTCTGGCCAGTTCGGACAAGTGCAGAGGCTACAAAGGCAGTGTTGACGGGAGCCTGGTAGCCTTGGTACATGGGCGAACTGTAAGGGATGGTTGCTGTGCGCCGTCTGCCAGCAGACGAAGGACTGTTCCCAGCGCTGCGGGGTTTCATCACTCGACCCGTCCGCTTGGGTTTAGGAAAAGCATGGATCAAGTCACGAAATGTCGAAGAGCGCCAGCATGACTGGTTGCCTTGAACCCAGCTAGGGTTCGCAAAGGACGATTGGGGTTGCCAGTAGTCGGCCATTGAGAAGATGGTGAGATGTTGAGAGGAGAGAGAGGGATAGAAGACTTGGGTATGAAAGATAGGACTGAGAGGTGGATGGTCAATTGAAAGTGTGAGGAGGGAGGTATGTGATATAACCATACATAGTAGTAGTAGGTGAGAGGCTAGAAGGATAAGACGGGATGGTGGGATAGGGCGATGGTTAGATTATATGGAGTATCAAGCACGGATAGGATCCGTGGATGATGACTGCAGGAATATGTAAAGGATCTCCGAAGACTGGGGTTCGAGACTTATCATCTAAAGATGACACAGGGGGCGTGAGGGTCACAAGGCGTGGAGGCAAGGTACAGTTAAGTGCGTGCGGTACTAAGTAGCAAGCCCAATGCCTAGTCGAGTAATGGACCCAGATGGTTCGGATGAGTAGTAGATTATGCGGTAAAGAGTAAAGTAGGAGCGAATCTAAAAAAGTAAAAAAAAAAGGCAAAAAAGGGGAGATGAAATAAAAAATAATAATAATAAATTAATAGTAGATGGGGAAAAAAAAATAAAATAAGAAAAAGGAAGGCCCTACATGAGGGTGATACACGGAGATGTGGGACGCATGTACATGGGCATTTCTTGATCTACCATCCGCCCCAGTTCCACGATCCATTACTGTATGTAAGAAGACTAATGGGTTAGTGGGAGCGGGCACATGTTGGGATGACACGACGTTGACACTAACGAAAGCAGACTAGTTGGTGGGAACCGAACAGGGCAAGACATGGGACGAGAGGAGTAGAAGGGGGGGCTCAGACTACGAAGACTGAGTCTAGTCTAGGTACCAGGAAGGGGAGGAAATGGCAAGGAAGGAAGGGGACCCAAGGAAGGATGGTTGATGATGATGAAGATGATTCAGATGAGCCCATGCCACACGAATGCTGTCTCCACCCCGAAAGGACTCTCTGGGACCTGCGAAGCGGGCAATCAATCCTGGCTCTGACTCTGTGCTGGCAAAAATGACTTCTGGACTGCCCTGGGCCCATGGAATTGGGGCTGGTTTAGTGGCTAACGGCGGGTGACGATGGGGGAATGGATAATAATGTCGATGGTGGGGATGATCAGACCCATTGGCAAAAGAATTTGATGGACTTGCAGTGTCCACCGGGAGGGGGGAGAAAATATGGAACAGAGGGTCAAGAGAAAAACGAGGGAGATGCGGCAGAGCGGCAAATGATTGGTTGGGAAACTGAAATCGGAGCTCCAGTCCAGGGAAAGGCAGCAAAGATCATGGATGGAACTTAAAGAAGGAACCAGAAAATGGCCGGGCCCTCTTCATGCCCCCCTCAGCTCCCTCTCTTCCAAGCCGAATTGAGTAGTGAGTGACCGAGTGATTGACTTGACTGAGTGACTGACTTGACTTTTGACTTGCCTGGGACATGCCGAAACTAAACTAAAAGTAAACTAAACTAAACTTTCCACTAGATACGACGCACAGTAGTAAGGCCCGTGTGAGAGCCCCATGGGAAGTCTGGGGCTAAACTGGGAACTTTTTGGGAGTTACTGCGTCTTCCTGCATCCTTTTCTTTTTTTTCTTCTTACCATACCATACCAAGCCAAGGTGCCGCCCGTTGCCTGCATTCTGATTGATTTCCCTGTCCTCCCTGTCGGATAGATACTACGGAGTACATGCTATTTCGGTAATAATGCAGTGGTAGTTATAGTAATTAGTTAATGCTCGGTGTCTTTCTACTTCGTTAACATGCGACAGACAGGTACGATGATCAGTTACATTCATGACCGAAGTGCGACTTTGCGCTTACTTAGTAGTAACTAGTCAAGTCGGTCTGCTGAGACTAACTACTACATGTAGTACCAACCCACTGTATGATTGTATGATACTTCACAGAGCGTCGCCCCATCAAAAGCAAGAAAAGGTAGCACTAAACTAATGCCGGTGTGTTTAGATTAATTCCCCTCTCTCTCACCTTCTCGATGACGCAGCCGTGCCATGGCACTTTGTACGGTGCCTGGGAGAATTTTGCGATCTATTAGTCACGCTGTACCAGGGGTAACTATGTATCTCTCTGATAGGTAGGTAAGTTATGTGGTACTAAGTATTCAGTAAAGTACTTAGGCAATGAAGATAGTGTGTGTGCAACCACTCTCCTTGAGTCACTTCTAGCCCAGGCTGCTGCTGCCCCCTCCATACATACATACATACATACATACATGCATGGGTGAAGGATGGATGGATGGATGGATGGCCGGACCCAAATCGTTGATACACTTCGCAACTCTCTTCGGCCGTCTTAGTCATGATGGGAATGCCCGCGGTGAAGCGGTAATATTGGCCTGGCAAATGACCCACGATCCGACCCGATCGTCAACCCTGCGGCCAAACACTCTCCCAACTCTCTTTCCGTTCCATTCCATCTTTACTGTTTCTGTTTCTGTTTCTAACTAGTAGAGGATGATTCTTCCTTATCCGTATTACATAGTCTCCTACTACTCCGTAACTAGGCACACATTTTGCCCCCCTCCCCTCTCGTCTTCTCCTCTTTCCCTCCCCACCCACTCCTTCGTCTCCTCCCTCGTTAAGTAACCCCTTCAAGCCCAGTCTTGTCCCCACAAGTTCACCGTTTCCAACGCGTCACAACGCCCGTTACGCAAGGGTTACAATAATGCGGAAAGTTTCCAAGGGCAGAGTTGCTTCCCCTGTCCGGAGTACGTATCGACATCGGATGCAGGTCTGGCCCAGTTCTCTACCCGGCAATCTCAGCAAGCTAGGCACATAACTTACACCATCCATCCCACCCATCCACATTGCAAGCAAGCAAGCAACACTCTAATTTGGTAGTCGTCGTATCGCATCCTCTTCCAGCCTGGCGATAGATCGAGACAAGGGCAGGAAGGAGCATGCGGATGGTCGAACAAGCTGCCTTCCGTCTCATTCCTTGTCATCGTCATCCTCGTCCTTCGGCATCCCCGGGCGCACATCCCATTATCCCGCCGACCATCCTTTCTAAACTACTAATCCTTGGGTGCTTGTGCTTCTATTGCTGTCCAACCGCGCCAGGGTGGGAGGCATCACCGTTATCACACATACTTGCAACCACTGATAGATTACTAGCCCAGAACTAATTTGGACTACCCACCAGGCCTGACTCGGTGAACCACTTGTCTCGTGAAGCGCTGAGCTGATGATCATTGATTGCTCTGAGCAACTCATTGGCCAAACAGGTGTGCTACTCCATACTTCATGCGTGCACAAGAGGCCAAGATTGCCTCGTTACCTTGGCACCAGGACAGGTTATACTACCATCACTTCTCCAACCATAGTATGAAAGTACAACGATCAAGTAACTGTACCTATGTTCCGAATCCCGATCGTTATTCTTGCTTATCAATTTCCTGTTACCCGTCAATCTATTTCGTTGTGGATCACATGTTTCATAGCCATAATACGTGTGACGAGCCGGATTATATCAGCTGGCTGAGTGGCTGAACGGTGAAAGCCTACTTGCCGTACGGACCACACCTCTCGGTGTAGGGGGAGGAGGGGATTAGGGAAACGGAAAGTTCGGCTAGAAATGACAACACTTGGACTGGGTTCAGGGATCGGAGAGGGGGGGCGTTATACGGAGAGTACGGAGTACGGAGCACTCAGAAACAGAATTTGCTCAAGGCCAGAGAAAGAGTGGGGTGTGCACTCCTACTTTAGCTACTACAACACGCAAGTCGCAAGAGGCAGTGAGAGAGACAAGAGCGAGGGAAACACCGCTCGGTATCAAGAGACTCCACAGGTCAGGCTGGCTGTCTAGCTTATCCGGGATGGAAGTGGGCTGGTGCCAATAAATGCAGTTTTGACGAGTCCAGCTGCACCAGAAAGAGAGGTACAGCAGATGGGTTCCGCCTATAGCGCTAATGCCCCCCATCATATGTAATCGACAAAGGAAGCCGGGGCGGAGGATTATTCCATTGACATGGGGACCATTTCCAGAACCAGGGTTACTACCGGAGCAAGACCGACTAAAAGCAGAGCCCTACCCACTCCGGTTAGTCCCCGTGGCGCCCCTCGAGAAGCCTAAGTAAGTACCTGAAGGCTGAGCCCGAGTCACTTTTAGTGCGCCTTTGGGTCAGAGTTACATGCGCCCCTCCTCTTTCTGGTCTGCTCGGCTGCCTTGAATTTGGTCCTAAGGAAAAAAAAAGTGAATGTGCCTAAACCTGCATAGGGCCAAAGAAGGGGGCGCAAGAGCAGAGAATAACAATAAAGAGAAAAAGTAAGAAAGAGGCTAAGCAGGGACCCTATCTGGATGAGGTAAGTAACTCCTGTATGGATGTATCCAACTAAACTAACGTTCTCCCCGTAAGAGCAATAATGTGGCCACCGTGCTCCGGCCACCGGGGCTCACTTTACATATACGACAGCCTGGCGATCGGGATTTGTGGCACTGCATCCGTCACGCCCGTTCTAGTCCATCTGACTGACGCCCATACGTAAATGAAGTTTGCTAACGAGGCACTTATTCGAGGAGAACTGGCAAAAGCATCCGCAACAATAAGAAACAAAATGAAATAGAAATTAAACGGACAGAAAACGAATGCTTGTCCCGGTTCAGAACCCGGCTGTTCGGGGAGGCGGATAGCCTTCCATTATACTAGAACCGCGCCAGATGCGTGGCAGGCCAGATCGAAAGGGTAACGAACTCGAGAAAACCTCCGTGCGACGCCTTAAGCGGGTACAATCACCACTAATCAAGATACATCATCGAAAAAGCGACTAATCAGATGGTTGAGATCATCGTCTGGCCGCCCTACAAATCAGAAGCCGGAGATTACAGGAGAGGAAGCATCAGAATGCATGTGCAGGCCCACCTGACGGCAGGGGACTGGGAAACTGGAAACCGTGAGATGGGAGGGCCAGTCGAGCAGAATTCCAGAAGGCTTGGGGGCCAAATCAGCCCTCGATTGGGTTATGCAATGGATGGAAACGGGAGACAAAAATGGAAAGGGAGGGGGCAGGAAACAGAAAAAAAAAAAGAAAGGAAAAATTTTCTCAATCAATTAATATATCGAAAAAGGAAGGGGAAGGAGAGGGAAAAAAGGAGGAAAAATTAAAAAAAAAAAAAGATGTTCCCAGACCAAGTGGGTCAAACTCCCATATCTCCGTTTCTACGGGAATACGGAGTCAAACTGGCTGAACAGGGATCCTACCAAGAAGCAGGAAGGTCAGGTAAGCTACCAGTTAGCTTTGTATGGTACTACGGTAACCACTCAGCCTAGCTCCAGTCTACTACTTAGTAGCTTGCGAGGTCCAGGATCTGTTCGTTATTTGCCGGTCGTCTGCTCTAAGTGGTGCTCTACACGCCGTCCAGTCAGCCGAGGCTCGCAAACGGCGCTTTTCAACAGCCAATAAAACCCCGTTGTTACTGATCTGATAGGTTACAACCAACGACGCTTCAAGCCTTCAGC